CCATGCAATCCCATCCCCATCCCCCCACCCCCAAAAAATGCTTCATTAATGGCCGGTAATGGCTGGTTAGAAGGTCTGCACAGGGTTACCTCACTCCTGCAGCAGCGTAGAGGGAAAAGGGACTTTAAAAAATATACATTTGAAAAAATAAAGGTGTCAGATAAGCTATGAAAGAAAAAAATTGCCAGAAATAAATTGTAATTCTTAGCGAATCCCATTTTCACTGGGTTCTCAATAAAAATATAGGCATTGATGTATTTGTACACGAGAACATGCTTGTATTTCTTTTTATAGGAATTCCATTATGCATTATGGGAATTTTCTTGATGATGTTACTTTGCTTTTAAAAGACAAAAGACATCCTGAAAGAACATTGCCGATATTAAATATTAAATCCCAAGTACAGGAATTCAGTCACACCTTAATACACTGCAGTTGATCCCGTATGAATTAACAATGCACCAATGTCATTTTGTATTGTTCTCAAAGCTGTACCTATAAAACAACAAAAATGAGGACAATAATGAATGCTTGATACAATGCACTGGGTCTGCTTTTGAAATATTGCTTAATTAGTGAAATCCATGTTTGACCATAAACGCTTGTGGTGGACTTTGTACAGACAAATGAACCACAGAGTCAATGGGAAGTTTTGTTACTGGGCTTAAGGCGCCATTACGCCCCCCCCGGAGCCGCTTCTTACGGCACTTGTGAGACGACTGTCTGTCAGTGAGGGCACTTAGGCCGGTATGGCGGTCCCAAGACACCAGGGATCAAAGTGACCTTCTGTAAACTGCGGGAAGCGAACGGCAGCCTTTGCCTTCATTTTGAGTGCAGAACCCCGGCGAGTGTTGGGGTGCTGAATAATTCATTTCATAATTGATTACACACACCGTTAACTATGATATCTGCACCAAATATTCTCTCTTCCACTTGCATGGGTTCAACTACGCGGTATCACATACAAAAACCCATGAAAACAGCTTTTAACTACAAACTCGCACACACGAGCGTTAACCTCGATACTGGTACTCAAAAAGACACGTTGAAAGATATAAAGAAAGACGATACACCATGAAAGCAAGTTTCACCTTGCAGATAGCATGACGGAGCTGAACGGCAACCCTCCTTGCAGCAAAACGAATGACACCAATTAGTAAACAAAAGTTCACGGTTCTCCAGGTTTTCGTTGGACTTCTCCGCCATCCACCACCCTAGTCCCACTCTTGCCGGTTTCACAGAGTATATTTCAAGCAAATTGATCGCTAGAAACAAAGAGAACAGCCAGTGGCATGTTAATATTTAATAGGACAGACCTCCTTAAGATAACTGAGGCATTTTTCCTTATTCCCCCCCGCCCATTAGAATGACTTCACTTGCCATGAGGCCTATTGCAGACTCGGTGGCCCGTCCAACCGGATAAGTGCCGTCTGACATTCACGCTAAGGACCGCTGCTGTCAGTGCGCCGTACTCCTTCATACCCTGTGTGGCCATGTTGATTTTTAGCCCGCCATCCTTTCCCACAAAAGAATTCTGCAGCGACTCAAAGTCCCCGGGATTTGCATGTATTCTTTCCAATTCTCTTTAATTAACGGGGAAAATTCTCGGGAGATGGAGGAATGCTTTTCTCGATCTTTTAATTATCGTCAGCTTTCTGTTCCGGCTTGACACTTCTACTCAAATCGGCTTTGATGGTTTGCTCTGCCCCACTGTTTTTAATTTTAATAAAAGAACAATGCCCACGTGCCGCTGATCCATCAGCTGGATTGAGTTTCCGCCCACTTGATTGGCTCCGCCCCCTGGGGTCCGCCTGGCCCTGTTTCACAGCACTTGGCATGGATCTGTATGACTTTACCAGGCTGGATTTATGCCCCTGTACGCAATGCCACTCTGGGAAGCTGTAAACAACTACTTCCTTTAATTAAAGGGAACTATCCTCTCGTTCATCAAATATGCTTTTATGTCATCTGCATATGTGACTTGCGAGCACATAAATGCCTTTTGATTAATTGCAATCTGTCAGGCTTCTGATGTGGTTTCCAGGTGTTCCAGAAAGTTCTACAAACAATAGGACGCCTCTCGTATTCTCCTCTTATGCTAAAAAAATTCACTGCTGCCCCCAACGCAGCCCAGTTCCATACTAAACAGCCACATGCGTGCACATGCAAACGTACTGTGCTGGACAGGTGGACAGGCAGAGCTATGGTGCAGACGAGCGATCCAGCAAGGAGGACCTCCCCGGAGAGCGAGCCAGTCCCACAGGCAGTGTGAGAAACTGGGCCAGACTTCAGGGAAAGTGGACAGGCACCCAGTGAGGCAGAAGCAGGCCTGGCTGGGTAGTGGATGCAGTGCTTTCCGCCAAATGCGCACTGGTTAGCTGTGGCCTATCAGATGTACAAATCCAGTAGAAAATAAGTAAACTTTCCCTGGGTTTTCTCTTTAAAAAAACTGACCGGGGCACCTGATCCTTACAGCTTTGTAGTCATGGTGTCTCCATTTAATCTGTGCCACTGGGCCGATTTGCCTAGTATACATAACTCCGCAGTCATCTGGCAGGTGTGCAGCCATTATCATTGCAGTCGGGGGTGGGGGAGCTTTTAGGTGGAGTAGCTCTAGAATCACTGAAACAACCAAAGAGTCTAGCAGGCTGCTGTTTAAACAGGTACAGGGTATACAAATGAAAAGGCTGTTTGTTACCCAGGACCTCCAAAGGATGTGAGGTATTATCTTTTAATTTGCAGTGTACATCAGTGGACTGATTTACTTCATAATTTGCAGTGTATTTGAATGAACTGTTTTAGCTTTTCATCTGCAGTGCAAATCATCACAGCCAAAATCTATTCTGTAGCCTACGAAAAAATGTCACATGTACTTCTCTAACATCTTTGGGGAACTGGCAGTGAGGGTTTGCAGGATTTGAAGTACTGGTATCGCTGAAACTTGAGTGGGGGTGGGTGTGTATGGTGTATAGGAGTGTGTTTGCGTGTGTATGATTGCACATACATGCGTGCACATGGCCTGGCTGTAAGGTCTGTCTCTCCCCGCTTCATTCCCTCCCACCAGCTTGCAGGCCAGGTACCTACAAGGCGTCAGCCATGGATGCCTACTGCACCAAATGCCCCGGCCACAGCCACTCTCCCCAGGAACAGGCCTCCGAGTGCATCTGCGAGAAGGGCTACTACCGGGCCGAGGCGGATTCCCGCTCCATGGCCTGCACCAGTAAGCCCACCCGAACCACCCTCCCTCATGTACACATGCAGGCCTCTATCCGGCCTGCCGCACATCACTCAGCTGGTAGCTGTCAGCAGGCGCGTGAGGGGAGATTACATGACATGAGAGACATGACCTTAGGTTTGCTGCCTCGGAGATGGACAGGATGGGAGAGGGAGGGAGAGACAGTGTGATGCTTTATCACCGCAGGCTCTGTACAGGCAAATGCGACTGTCCTCGGGATCATGCGAACAGACCCCTACCGGATTGGAATGAGACTCGACCCTCCTCTGTACCCCCTATCGTCACACAAACAGAAAAAGTATATCCCTTTACTACCTTGTCAGCGTTTGGAAAAATAGAAACACAGAGTGTGGAGGAAGGCGAACAGCTTTAGAAGGACAAAGGAGGAGACTAAATTCAGGCTCAATACATTCAGCGCAAGCCATTTTATTTTTTTTTTAAAGCAGAAGTGTCCTAATTTAATGATTTCCCCAATTATCATGGTGGGGAACATCTACGGGTTTGTTTAGATAAGGGACCCATCGAACAAGGCCATTATGTGCCAATCTAATTAGACAGCTCGCAATCATGAACCTGTGCACACATGGCCGGGTCTCTTCTGTGGCACTTCACACGTGGTAACACATCCAGCTGCACGCACACACACGGAAACGCGGTGTTTATCTCGCACGCCTGCACTCTGCCACATGCGTGAAAACATTAAAACGTGTTTCAGGCCAGGTATCACGGTAACCACTGCCTAGGCACACACACGAGTGGTAGCTGTCCTGAGGCATAAACAGGTGAAGTTTTAATTGGGCACACTGGAAAAAAAGGAACAATAAGCAAATAAATGGTATGAGTCATTCTGAACAAAAGGTTTGGTGTGACTCCGGCCCAAATGAGTATGCGGCGCAATCGGTAACCAGGCGTGCCGCGCGAATAGAAACGAACGCAAACAGGCAGTGCAGCTCCGCCATCGGCGCCCCGAGTGCGGCCTTGGGGGGAGGCAGCGGCACAGGAAGCCAGTGACAGCGTGGAGTGCGACCAGCTCACAGCCGACCGCGCGTTAAACGGGAGGCTGCAGTTGGCAGCTCGCCACCCCGTGCCCCACGCTGTGGGGGTAGCGAGGTGTAGAGTTTCGCTGTCCTGGGGGGTGGGCCGAAACCATCTACCAGCGGGAGTGTGTCTGACACGGAATTACCATAACGTCACTTTGACAGTGCAGGCGAGGAGTCGGGGCCCATTTTCACCCGCCGTCCTCCCTTGTGAAGGACCTTGCAGCGGCTCAGGATTCCTCAAATTTATTCCAGTAGATTAATGGCAATAAGTCGTTGCGTAGGGAAGTTTGCACATTAACTGATGGGTTCATCCCTCCTGCTGTGTTCATCCTCACGCCATCCCTACTGTCTGTTTCGAGGACCCCCTTCTGCCCCAGATAATCCCATCTCGACCATCAACGAGACGTCGGTGACCTTTGAGTGGAGCCCGCCCCTTGACAATGGGGGCCGGGGGGACGTCACCTACAACGTGCACTGCGCTCGCTGTCCGGGGGCCGGCCGAAGCTGCGGGCCCTGTGGTCCCGGCGGGGGGGGCGGCCCACACTTCACCCCCCGCCAGTTCGGCCTGTCCATGGGCAAGGTCCTGGTCACGGAGCTGCAAGCCCACACCAACTACACCTTCAGCGTCGAGGCCCTCAATGGCGTGTCTCACCTGAGCCCCACCCCCCGGCAGCAGGTGTCTGTGAACATCACGACCAGCCAGACAGGTGGGTAACGCACAGGCCTCACAATAATGGCCTGGGCATATTTTAAAGTTGCCCGCACGTCAGCCTGAAACCTGGAGAGCGCTGAAATGATTTGTTTTTTTTTTTCCTCTTTAAAAAATGCCGTTCAGCAAAGAGGCTGAGAAGATGAACTTTGTGGAGTTTTAAGCTCTCTGAAGTGCTTTTGTAAGCTCTCGTCGAGAAGAGGCTCTCTCAGTGGGCAAAAAAACAAAAAAAAGCCCAACATGGCCAAAAAAAAAAAAACACAGCCGGCGATAAAGTTTGGCTCACTAGGGCATCGTGGGTAATTTGGAAATGACAAGAAGGCAGCCCCCGTCCCCCGGACTGACGCCTGGGGGCAGGGCATTTAAATATGCATGAGGCCTCGACTCAGGACCTAGGGTGCACTTCCCTGAGTGTGTGGGTGGGGGGGAGGTAATTACCTGATGTTGGAAGTGGATAGAGGCGCTTGTTGAGAGCAAAGGGGGGGGGGGTCGCAGGAGATGTCAGCCATGCGCCTGTCCGCATCTCTGGTCTGGGGAAGTCGGGACATTGGCCACACCGCTTTGTAGGGTTAACCTGGGGGCAGATGGAGCGCCTCTTGGTCAGGCGGACGGGGGGGGGGGGGGTCACTTGGGGAGGTGTCAGACCAGCGTTTCACATGGACTAAAGTGCCTCCAGTTATACCTCCAGTCAGATGAGAGCGCCAGATCTCCCCTGCTGGGCTTCAGCTCTTTAACTACCTCTGTCACCTCCTTCCTTACCTCCCTTCCTTTCTTTCCATCTTCCTTTCCATGACTCCTTCCCTCTCCTTTCCCCCTGCCCCTCCCTCCTTAACCTCTCTCTGCTCTTCTACCTTCCTTTCTCTTTCTCTATCTTTGCCTTTCTCTCATCTTCTACCTCTGCCTTTCTCTCTCTTCCTCTACCTTTCTCTCTCTTCCTGTATCTCTGCCATTCTCTCTGTTTCGCTCTCTCTCCCCACTCCTGTTTCTTTTCCTCCCTCTCTTAGTTTCAGTTCAATGCATTATTGGGGCGATAACTTGTTAATTCATTCGCCAACCCTTAAAACATGTGTGCGCCCATACATAGAGAGCTCAGAAAATGCATACGGCGTCAGTTTTACATGTGTACGCAGCATAAAATTCACGTACAGCTAAGCATTGCATTTAGACACGATAATTGCATGTCATACTAAAAATAAGCAATGTTCAAAAGTTTCAAGGGAAATCTAAGTAAAAGCAGACATTGGCAATGTTCAGGCTGTGTCTTGCCATCTCTGCCCCAGTGAGTGTGATGCTGAAGGAGAGGAAGAGGAAGGGCAGCGTGACCCTGGCCTGGCAGGGCCCCGACAGAGCCAGCGGGGCTGTGCTGGAGTATGAGGTGATCTACTACGAGAAGGTGAGCTTCTGCCAGGCCGGCCAGCCGGCTCCATGTATTGTGCCCAAGCGGGACTAAGGCTCAGCTAGCCAGTGAGGCATGTTATGGGTCCCAGGGCTTTGGGGAATGGCTGCTTTCATCTATTATAGCCATTCCACATAACCGAGCTCTCCCTTATCGTCTGAGAACTGGGCTGTCTTCTGTTATACACATGCATGTAATGAATGGCAGTTTGTAAATCACATTAAGAGGCAGAGAAATCGGATGACGGAACGTATCAGGCAGGGGTGCTCCATCATGCATATCCCCGGGTAGTGTCACAGTGATCTTATGTTTTGTTTCCCTTGAAAGTTGCAATTACATATGCATTAAAACCACAGTAGCCTTTAAAAAGCAAAGTGAGAACGCTGCCCCATTTGTGAAGGGTGGGGTTCCCCAGTACCGGCGATCCCGCTGGGAGAGAGGGCTGGAGATCATTTGATGGGGTGGAATTGCCTGGTGGCGCTGCTGCATGGCTGCTCAAAACGAAAGGCCATTAGCCACAGTGTTCAGAGAAAACACAGTGTGCTGGAAGGCAGGGCCATGATGCACTGGAGAAGCAGCAGAAAACAGGCATCCCCTGAGTTCACACGGACATGCCTTCCACCGTCCTTGATGCATCACTATCTAACCATAAGATAATGGAGTTTTCATTGGCCTTTAGTGAGCCGTCCTGGGGCATTGGAAAGGGTTGCATTTCTTTTACGTTACTGTGGGCCAAACAAATAAACATGGCGTCCATATCCATCCCAGTCAATCCCCATAACCTATGTTCACATGGACTCAACCCTCAAGCCATTCCACTGTTTCCTGGGTGATGGCTTAACAAGCTGTTTGTCGTACGTGAATCCGAACATTAAAGATGACCCTCCCCTCAGGGTCGCCCGGTGCCTCATAACGAAGAGAGCTGACGTGCAGCGAACGTGCAGAGAACCCCGAAAGGAGGCTTTCGCATGTCAGGACTAATTTCAGCATCGGTCTCTCATATGCAGGACTCAAGATCTGATGAAGGGTAGTTCCATAATGGAAGCAAGTCTAAAAAAAAAAGAATAAATATTAATCTGACTCATTCTCATGCTACCACAAAATAGTCATCTATTTATGCACCAAGAATGTTATGTACAACCCTAACATCTCCTACATCACATAGATCAGTTCAAAATGATTTTTATTTTTTGTTTCCTATACCCTTTTCCTTTTTTTTATGGCGCTCTCATTGCCGCCTACCTGTGTTGTTCTTGGACGCGCTTGTTTTTTTGCACTTTTGATTTGAATAGCTTCTATTGGGTTTGTACAATGCTTTTTTGTAATGTATTGTATAGCTCCTGCTCCAGTGCTAATTTGCACTTGTTAATGAGCATTCATTGGCAGCTCAGCCTAGCTGCACTTATGCCTATTTGGCTCCTTCACAGCTGTAAACATGCGATGCACTATCTGGCTCTCATACGTCGCTTTGAACAAAAGCGCCTGATACAGAAGTAAAATGTATATGTAGGGCTCATATGTGTTTGTTATTTTGCCTCCCCTGTCAATCAGAATCAGCGAGATCAGAATTACACAGTTCTGAAGACCAAGTCCAACATCATGACTGTGAATGGTCTAAAGCCAGGCACCACCTATGTGTTCCGGGTGCGGGCACGCATGGATGGTGGATATGGAAACTACGGAGGAGAAATTGAGCTGGAGACCAGCCATGATGGTGAGTGCCAGAATGTGCTTGATCATGAAAAACAGCTTTTTGCTGATCAAGTCTGAAAAGCAGTGATTTTAGCATGGTTCCCTTGAACTTGCTTGCAGGTCCTGCATTAAAGTATGTTGTGCGCCATGTAAATCTTTAGGTTGCACAGTTCATATAATTTTATATTGTTCTGTGCCAGGGATATTTATGGCACCTAACAGGCTCCTGACAGGTGTCTGGCTATGGGCTAAATGCTGAACTTGAGCAGAAAATCTTGGATGATTTCTTGTTAACTTTGACACAATTTTCCTCCCTCCTTTTTCTCATGACAGACATGTTGGCCATCGGGGACCCCAACCAGTCGACCATCCTGGCGATATCCATCGCAGGAGGCGTCATTCTGCTTGTGTTTCTGGTGGCTTGTTTCGTTGTGAGTGGGAGGTGAGATCTCTAGCTATTATGTCTATGGTTTCTCCCAGCTGCATTGTGGGATGTCTGTGGTCTGTTGATGAAGAGTGGGAAACTATTGAGAAGCTTTTGGATTGAGGTCAGTTTAAATTAAATTTATTTTACATAAGGCTTAATCTGAGGAAATTTAGACTGTTTGTGTTAAGGATCTGTGTGTGTGCAGCAATGGTTTAATCCAAGATCATTCACCTGGCTTACGTTGTTTGTGTTCAGGATCTGTGTAACTGCAGCTCTGGTTTAACCCCTGGATACTTACCTAGTTTACACTGCTGTGCTTGTGCTCTTTGTGATATAAACTGAAGTTTGTTTAAATGAATCAGCATTGGAGTTTGTTGTGTTGGGTTTCCTCTCACTGAAAGTGGAACATAAGATTGTTGTATCAAACTCTAAACAGTTTGTTGTGTATAAACTCAGGCAGAGTTCAATTCCATTCCATGACAAAGCTTGCAGAAACATTAATATTGATCAAATGTGATTGCTTGCGATGCTGAGTGGTGTATTCTGTATTGACTGCATTGTGATCTAATACACACATTCTGCACTGTGAATCATAAAGATGCATGGACACACATACACAAACTCATCCCAAGATGCACAAGCCTGTGTGCACAAGCCTGCGTGCACAAGCATGCGTGCACCCCACACTGATGCATCTTTCCTGTACTCCCACTCTGCCACCTCCACAACCATTTTATATGAAATTCTACCCCAACTGGTATAAGTGTTTCTAACGCCAGTATCATCGGTGATGAAGCTGTCTAGTCCTTAGAGCCAAGAAATCTGGCCAAAGAGAAGCGAAGGGGAGAGGCAATTACAGCTTGCTGGCGAAGGCATCTGACAAACTAGGTGCTAACCAGGTTTTACGGGGCAGTCGATACATCTCCAGGAATGACTCATTGCTGCCTTTTCATTTTGCGGAGGCCAAATTAAAAGCACGTTGGTGAGGTGGGCTGAAATGCTGGGGGGGGGGAGTGTTGACAGAGAATGCGAATGAGAGGCACTTGCTGGTGCATCTCAACTGAGACACATCAAAAGGCCTTCAGAGAAAGTGCATGTCCGTTTATGAGTGTGTGTATGTGTAATACGGGGAGTGATCTTAAAGCACTTCAAAGCAAAGGCCGGCAAGAGCATGAGAAAGGGAGTGAAAGGACAATGAGAAGGGATGCGGGGGTGAATGAAAAGGAGACAGGATGAGGAGTGCAGCTCAGGAAGACCAGGTGGAGAGAGAGCAGGAGAACTAGAACGGAGGGGGGGGGGGGAGAGAGAAAAAAAGGGGTTTAGCATTTTTAGGTGCAATTTGAATTATATGCAGTGCAGTTCAGTGCCAACATAGGTATGAAAACTCAGAAAGGTTCCCAAGGGCTTACAGGCTGGTAATTACCTCTCACTGTCTGTCTCAGCTCTGGGATTCATGCTATCCCTGCTCCCACAGTGGTGGTTGGGGAAGAGGGAAGTCTGGGGGTCACTGGAGCCCTAAATAGACACATAACTATTACCCATAGTCCCTTCTTCTAGTGACACCAATGTCATTTTGTTCCAGTAATGATTTGTTTTGATAAATGAATTAGGCGTCAACAGAAAAGCCACTAGAATGTTATATTTGGATTGGGAGTTTTCCAGAAGACAAATTAGCTGTGCATTTGCTGTGTGGACTATAAAGTCAAGGCATCAAAGTGTTCGTGTATGTGTGTGCGTGAATCTTAATGCAGAAATCATCACCTGTAATGTCGGCCGATCACCTGAGCACATGGCAGTCTTGCTGGGTAGTGGGTCCAGATGAAACTGTCACGGGTCACAGAACTCAGCACATTGACCGAATGTCCTACAGACCAGCCCCAGAGGGAACACCGGTGATGGAAGAGACCCTCAAACAGCTGAAGAGCTCTGGGTTAAATAGCTGGGCTGGGGGAGGTGGGCCGACCTTGGCTTTGTCCACAGGGTAACAGGAAACATAGTCTGACTAGTCTCTGAACATGTGTATGGTACTTTATTTGTCCATTAAACCAGAATAAATGAAAGAACCAAATACAAACAAAACGTCTGCTTGAAGTTAAAGACGTCCATACACTGAATCATTTAGTAACATTTATTTACAGTTAGTGAATGCTTTCTTCCATTCCATACAAGTAAAGCAGGCTTTGTAAATTTAATAGCTGCCTTAAATAATTTTTCAGCAGTGGTCAGACTGATTTTTTTTTGCATGCTGTCTATTTCCATTTCTCTGCAGCCAAGGAGTGAACACTGCCACATTTTTTATTTTTTTTTTGCTGTATTGTTGACGTCTACAGCTACTGGCCGCCACATATCCCATGGTTATGGCCGGCATAGAGGAAGGGACACAGTGGCTACGTCAGTGTGAGGTCCTGCACAGAATCATATTCCCATTGAAATCTTGTGACAGAGCCTTTCCCCCACCTCTCTGAATTGGACAGTTATGAGGAGAAGAGTTTATTTACAAGCGGGCTCGTTGCGTGTGAGGGGAGGCTGAAAACCTGGCTGCGTGTGGCTGTCGCGGGTATCAAATGCCCATGCCTGCCTGCGCTGCTGTGTGCCAATTAGCTGTGGGTGTGACGGTGCTGCCGCTAACAGCCAAAAACTCGCAGACGGGTTCATCAGTGGGCGCCGGCCGCGTTATTGAAATAGCCGCCACTCCGATTTAACAGACCTGGCAGGCAGGCGGGTATGAGCGACTGGCACGCACCAGTCAGCAGATGGAGTGTGTTCACCAGGCCGCTTTCGTCTCCCTTTGTCCTCGTTCTCCTCAAGAAGAAACTAAAATACGTAACTTTGTTCCTAATGTATGTTTTAAAAAAAGCCAGTGTAATATCACTCTGCTTACACAAACCAACAGACACACGTCATTTTCAAGTTACGCCATTTGATTGTTCAAGGATAAAAAGTGAATTTTTCTGCTTCAGGTCTGGTCCAGAACTGAGAGCACTCTGTCCGAGGAGTAATTAGTAGTAGTAATTTGGTCTGATATTGACTTGTGGGTTTGGTCTTCCCCTTTGTTTTTGGGACCTCTGCATGAGCTCATGCACTGTTCTTAGAACTGAATGGCTTTTCATGCTGTTACTGCTAATCTGACGCACCGCAGTCTGACATCTGTCAATAGCAGCCTTTCTCCTGGTAGGGTTTCATGGAGATCAAAAGAGAGACACCACTTGCTAACTGAGCATTCCTTGTTATCACCAGTCAGATGCCCATGTTCCATTCCCCACCTTGTCTCCACCCACCTGAATGATGCCATGATCCCATCCATATTCCTCCATGGTTCCAGTTAGAGACAATGAAGACGTACTAACTCTATGGCTTGAAAAACAGCTTCTGAGGAACAGACCCCAGTTTGTTGGGCACAAGTAAATATAAGATTTAAGATTCTTATTACAATAAATAAAGCAGTGTGATGCATACAGATGGGGCAGTTGGGATGTTCTGATATGGGCAGAGGGGTCATTTGATTCTTTCCAATGGGTATCCATGCCACGCTACCGGGCTGGCAGTCATGTACACCCAGATCCCGGCACTGCAGAGACTCCGCTCACCTTCGGATCCCCTCATTTCGTCTGTTGATGCAGACAAAATGAGTGAGTGCCACTGATTTGCTTTAACTGGAGGGCCCACCACAAGTGATTAAAGCAGTGGAGTAAAAAGCCCCTCCCAGGTTCCCTCCCTCTCACAGGTCATCCGCAATCGGATGATTACAGGCCCTATCCTGGGGAGATGCACGCACGGCCACACTCATCAGGCGAGTTTCGGCGTGACTGAAGGATCAACAGGCGATACACCTACCTTTTCACTTTCAAGAACGATTATGGATACTAATTCTATTATGAAATGTCACCTTCTTTTCTTTCTAAACCTCTGCGTCTGACACAAATGTAACTCGCTGGCACCCAAGAGCGCCCCCCCACCCCCCACCATATGCCTGCTTATTATCCTTTAAAAACAACAAAGGAATCCATTAACAATGGATCTAGCTTCATTAATGAGTTCATTATTGAATGTTGACAAGCTCTTCTCTCTTAAATCTAATTGGGGCCACTATCTGTGGTTTTAATGCAGATTCAGTCAATGTACCTTTGCTTCGTCGACGTTCTGAGTCTTTAACCTTATTCGAGACAAGGTTTTCCGAGATATTCAATAGCGTTTATCTGTATATCCTTGATCAGCTGCCTTAATCATGCAGTGAACTTGAAGAGATATCCTACATTTTCATCAAGCACCTTCAGACCATGCAATCCATTTTTTAAAGCAGCCACTGAACATCTTCATAAGGGACCACAGACCAGACATAGTAACTAAATGTCATTTTGGTACAGCTTCACCGGAGAATCCCCACAGCGACAGAGGGTTAAACAGTAGGGATGTGGGTGTATGCTGATCTCACACCCACAAAAACCTTTTTAACAGTTGTGCTCAGGGAGGTTAGTATACAGTGGGTCTAATTCCAAGGTCATGCGCTTATTGCCAAATGAAAGGCTACGGTTGGATTCACACCATTTCAATAAGGCAAGAGACACGAGACAACCGAGATGGGCAATTAAACATTATCTTGTGGCAATAATTCGGAAGTGTCTCTCAGACGTTTTTACAGCTCCTTTGAGTGTGGGGTGGTAAACCGGCGCCACCTGAGTACGCACCTACCCTACCCAGCACTGAAGGATTTGCTGTTGCCCTCCATGTTGTTGTTTTTCTTTGTACGTTTAAGTGGTTTTCAGTAGATGACATAAAACCTTGGATTGCAGCCCAATTAGCTCTTCCCAAGTTTCTTCTTCTCTCTCGTGAGAGTCTGATGGCCATTCAGTGCCTCCTGCTGCTTTCACTGGAGCTTTGCCTGAGTTTACAACAAAGGGTTGGCAAGTTGTGAACTGGTTGCCTTTCCAATGTAAAGATTTACTTCTGCTCATTTATTTAAAAAATGGGATAATACACACACGCGTGCACATGAACTTTCATTGCCACAAGGTTCGCTGTGATTCATTTTCCTCTATAGACCGTAATATTCGCCAAGCCCGATGGACGCACCCCTCTGATCAGTGCCTCAGGCAAAACAGACAATCTTCCATGCCACCCCATCCAGTATCATCCCCACCAGACAGCCCGCGGCCCCTGGTCCCCTGACATCCGCGATGGAAACTTGTCCAGATGGGGTTCCATTGCTGCAGCTAATTATCTGTGTTTACATGATGTTCAACTACAGTTTAAACCATCCAAATATAATACAGATCAAGATGGAAGAGTTAAATGATGGGTCGCTATGAACATTTTCTGTGTTTTAGGATGATTTGCGTAGGGGCAGTTGATGCCTGTGGTTGATTCTCGCCTCCCCCAATTTATTCCTGCTGCTAGGGGGCGCTCTTAATGATACAACATAGTGCACTTCACAGCTTATACTGACTTGGGCTCCACAGGCCGGTGCAAGAGCTACCCAAAGTCCATTTGCCTGCAGCAGCATGTGTTGTTGCTAACATTGCACTCATATTAATTTCCAGTGTGGCTACACCATGCCTAATAAAAGCCTCATGACTTTCACTTGCCTTCCGCGGTGAGAAACCGTATTAATAATTCTGCCTTATGTTAAAAAGTAAGAAGGGAGGGAAAATAACAAAAAAGTCAGTATGGGTTGTGAAACCTGAATGAGGAACCATCTCTGCCTCCGCTCTTCCTGTCATCCTAAAGTGAACATTAAATTTTAAAATGTAATATAGGCCGAGGGTTATTGAGGGTCGTGTAGAGGATATGGCTCCCGGTCAGGTGTGGTTGAGGTGCAGGCGGCAGGGGTGAGGGGGCTCTCTTGGCTTCTCCTGTCATGGGCTGACACAGTGTTTGGGTCTTCAGACTCACGGGGGTTCATGGAGAGAGAGAGAGAGAGAGAGAGAGAGTGTGTGTGTGTGTGTGACAGAGTATGCCCTCTCCAGAGCAGACAGATTCTGCAGTAGAGCTCAAGATCATAAAAGTGTGCCTCCAGCGAAAAATGGCCTGCTGGGCCATTCCTGGTGGTATCCTCCGGGAGCCCGGCCCTGAGAAACGCTGGAGTATGTCTCAGCGAGTGGAGAAGGACCAAAACATACCTGTGATCTGGCTGCTCAGATATTTAATTGAACGTGAAACATTTCTGGAGGTAATACAAAATATGAACGGTCGTGATGGTCGATTACTTACGGGAAGTGTGCCGGCAACTATGAACACCCCTTCAGAAATTCCTTGCATCTTGTTTTAATCAGGGTATGTTATTGAGGGATCCCATGTTAGACATATTTCCCTTTTGAGATGAATAAAAACAATTAAACTCAATGGTCCTTAATGACGGGCCAGAAACCAATTAGCGGCATAACAGTCAGGTTGCTGTACACTCTAGCCCGTAGGCTACAGGATTCCGTTGTGTCTGAGCAGACCCATAGAGAAGCAGAACAAAATGGTGTTCAGTCATCACAAAACGCCATATGAGACCAGGACCCAGATGTTCCTTAGAGCCATGGACTCCCTCTGAGTCGTCAGGGCCATTATCTGAGAATAACTGGCTGTTTGTGCAGAAACTGCCCATCCTGGATTCAGTTATGTGTCACACATTCAGAGGCTCCCGGCAGCACAGAAGCTGTCAGTTCATGCGGAGGTTGTCACTGGAATTAAGCCCCGCCGTCTTTAGGGAAGCAGTCGTCTCCACAGAACCCGTCGCTATCGCAGCTTAGTGCATCTGTGCCCGTCTGTGCCTCATTTGTGCGAGACCCCTTAGTCCATCTCACCCTATTTCAGACACTGTGGATACATCAAAGCTAAGCAAGACCCCGACGAAGAGATGCAGTTCCAGCATGGGCGTGGTAAGAGTTTTCCGAAAACCTCCAGTATTTAAAGCTGTGCCTGTTGAACTGATTCCAAATAACCATTTAAGACAAGGCACTTGTGCATGTATTTTTATAAGGAACCAGCTCCATTAAACGAATATTATGTTGAGTGGATGGCTGCTTCCAAAGACACAAGAACCATGCTGAATATAAACTATCCCAGACATTTGTAATTCCAATGACAAATAGTAAGTAAAGATCCATGAGTCTTGGCTCTGCACTGGCTTGTGATGAACGATTATATTGACGTCATGTGTTGTTTGATGGATACTTACCACTAAAAATCGTAGTTTTCCATGTACCCAAGAGAGCAGGGCTTAATGATGTTGAAAATGTGGCCTGATCCTCTTTGAGTAAGTGGACGGCTTTATAATGAACAACAGTATCCGACCAAAACTCCCCATCTCTGTTCATCTGCTCCTCCCATCCTGATCGCTGCCGCTTGCTCTGCCAGTCAAGCTGCCAGGGAGCAGGACCTACATCCACCCACACACCTACGAGGACCCCAATCAAGCTGTCCGAGATTTTGCCAAGGAGATTGACGCATCCAGTATCCGCATCGAGCGAGTTATAGGGGCAGGTGAGTGAAGTTTGTCTATTTATATCGACAATATTTCTACCTCAGCCAGGCAAAGCAGGGAATGGCACAACACTGTGAGCACAGACATCCATGAACTTTTAAGTTGCACCGGAGTAGTCTGTAGGCCTGATTTGTTCCCTACAAAACTGGTTTATTCGTTCTTCGCGGTTTAGGTCTTGTGCCGATAATGCTGCATAATTGTCCATAAATGTGCTGCAGCAGGAATTCCTCACTTCCTCCACGTGGCTAGTTAAAGTCACCCTCCGATTCTGACCTCTGTTAATGACCACCCCCTAAAAGAGATCTTTACAGAGCTCTTTAACTCCTGTGAGTGTGTGTCTGTATGTGTGTGCATTCATGAGTGTGTGTGTGTCTGCTGAAGGAGAAGAAGCTCCCTTTGAGTCCCTTTCTTCCTCTTCTAAGAAGCTGCTTTTCTCTGTTGAGAAGTACTGATCTGAAACTCTCATATCCCATGAGCTCTTAGCAGGCCGCAGAAACAGAAAAAAAGCTGAGCACCTTGCCAACTTCATGGTCCACAAAATACATACATATATGTAAACATGTGTTGTGATACTCATGGTGCCACACATGCTAAGGATAGGCTTGGTGTCGACATGCAGGGGAGTTCGGCGAGGTGTGCAGCGGCCGGCTGAAGCTGCCGGGAAAACGGGAGATCTGCGTGGCCATCAAGAGCCTGAAGGCGGGCTACACTGACAAGCAGAGGCGGGACTTCCTGAGCGAGGCCAGCATCATGGGCCAGTTCGACCACCCCAACATCATCCACCTGGAGGGAGTGGTCACCAAATGTGAGTGAAAGTCCAATATGGTCAAACCAATTGCAGTTATGGGTATTGCAGGGAGCTATGTTTTCCAGATTTTTCTTTCCATCCACCTTCCCATCTCTGTTGCCAGCTTTAGAGTATGAACATGAATATGAATTATTCTGTAACGGCTGCGCGCGGTGTTCAGAAAGGGAGAGCACTTTCACCCTTCATTCTGTCTGACAGCATGGCGTGAGTTTTTACATAGACACAAGGGCAAGGTTTGCCCACAACTGAGGTTCTATCTGCTTTTGATTTCTGGGGAATCTGCTGTGCTTGCATTAAGATTCCTCTCACAACGTCAGGCAGGTTATGTGGATGGGCGTCTCTAATTCTCCCACTGTGTGCAGGAGTGTGTGCAGGAGTGTGTGTGTGTTCTGCCTGTGTGTGTGTGTGTGTTCCCCTTTGATGGACTGACATTCCACCCACCGTGTCCCCTGCCATATGCTCTGTGACATCCGCAAGGCTGTCCATAGTCCCCCAACGAATAAAAAGTATGAAAGCAAATGGGCATTTTCCCAGCAGAAATTTGTTTGTCACCCTCAATCATGATTGGCATGAGTCACTAATCTAGTACAACAAAGTAACTATTCGTGGTTACATCGTAATTAATATTAATCATTTAAACACTTAACATAATGTGTTTCCCAGCATCATGAATATGCAATAATGCACATAAAAAAATTGGATTCTTTTCTTCAACGTGTCTAATATAAAATACTAATTCTAAACGTCTTTGTTCATTTTAAAGGATTTGTAGAACTTCTCGCAGTCAGTTAGGGTTGTACTTCAAAAGCAGATGTTGCATAATTGGGGCTCTTCCAGTAAAGGCAGCCCATTAATGTTATGCAAATTCAAGGAGCCGTCGTTAGCGGGACGTTAAATCAAAAAGAATGATCGAGTCGAGCAGTGGGTCAGGGTTAGCAGGCAGGCATGCTGTGTGGAAAGCGTGTGTCGTGTGTCGTGTGTAGTGTGTGTGCTTCCTGCACTCACCCATGACTAGACAGCATGGATAAGGGGCTCCACAGTGATGTCATCAAGGGCTGGGGTGGGGTCACTGGCACTCAGCGTAGGGGATGATGGCAGCAGATCCAGACCAATTTCACAGATCACAGCTCGGATTGGTGGTGGCCTGGGGGGGGGGGGGGGGCATGATGATGGAGGGCTGTACTGAGGACCCAGCTGTTCGGCTGTTGCCTCGTCTTGAAGTGCAATCAGAACAGGACAAGCAAGAGAGCATTTGGGGGGGGGGTGTGTGTTAAAAAAGTGTGTTCACCATAGTGCACGTGCGTATTTGTGGCAGGTCATCTGTCTCAGGCTCTCAGATGAGGTTATTTTATGGGGGAAATATTTGAAGGTGATGTAAAGGCCTGATTATTCGCATTGTGATGCAAATTGCAGGCTGACGGAGGATGCTGAAAATGGCCTTTTGTTCCTTATCACGCTACATATTTAAAAAAAAAAATGGAATAGCTATCATTATCTCTGCAATCTTCCCTTTATTTTGCTAACAATCAGCTAATCAGGTAACATTCAACTGGGTAATACTTATCAACAGTCATCATCTGGGAGGACCCCAAATGGCGCTCTCTCCTCCTTTTTAATGTGTGTATTTTCATAAATAATCCTGGTTGAGAATAATAAAGGCGAGCCTCTCGTTCCCTGCCACTGCCCTTCAGACGGGTGTAGGAGCACAGTTCCTGTTTCTGCGGCCTCCGTCCCTGTAACTAACATGCATGTTGGGTTCCCACTGCGGACACCACCTTCAGGGTCTGATTGTTTCATAAATGACGGAGGTGGGGCCACAGTTCAATCACACTCCCCCTTTGTTCCCGTGTTCATTCTTCAGGTGTGGTGGGAAGACTTGCAACCTCCCCAGGGCAAAAAAAACAAAAACAAAAAACAATTAATTAATAACCTATTAATAAGCTTGACTTGCCTGTTGAATATATCACTCTGGGGAGCGTGCAGATGCAAGGTGTGACTGAGCTCCTCTGAGCTCAACGCTAGCAAAGTCTTTGTAGAGGCCACACCCCCGCTGAGGTAGGAAATCCATACCCCTGCTTGCATTTTCCCCAATCCTGTAGAGCTGTCTTGGTGAGGCAGAGGTTTGAGCCCTCGCTGTCTCTGGAATGAGGAATTTGAATACCTTGAGGTGTAGCTATAGGACTTTCTTCTGGTGGGATCTGGACAGAACATGACGTGTTGGTGAAGGACCATTGTGGCTTTCCTGACCGGCCCCTGCCCTTTCACCTTTGGATATATTTTCCAATGCACCCCCGGATGACACCCACAGGTTTATGTCCCAGGACTGTATTCCTGCACTCCTGCAGAAAATACCCAATTTAGATCGCATTAGTGAAGTATCCAGTTGCAACTAAAAGGTCAAACAGAAGGTGAATGCAGTGCATGTAAGTAGGTAATTGTAGGCTGGGGGGGGGGGGGCATGGTGACCAGGGTTTCACATACTGATTAGTTTTGCCTGTTCCTCATTCAGTGCATTATGCAAAAAAGAGTGCGTTCTCTTTCGTTTTGCCCCCAGTAACCTCAACCAAAGACCAGACGCCAGGCCCAAAGCCCATATCCGCCTCTGGTTTCTTTCTTTCATCCCCCACTCCTGTGCCTTGGCTTGGTTGTTTTTCTTCAAATGGCTCCTCTGTTTTTTTTGTGGTCGCCGTGTCGATCCCATTTCTGCCCACTCCCCATCACTCCTGAAACAGGAAACCCCATTCCAAAAAGAATCTCCCCTTCCGTTCCCAATCCTGGTGTCACAACCGGAGTGCTTCTCGCGGTAATGTGATCCCAGACGATGGCAGGCCGTGTCTGTGCCTCTGAACGTTCCACGTTCACTTGGAAGGAAAAGCATTGTGTCCTCAAATCACCCCCCACCCCCGCGGAAACGACTGTCCGCATGCACGGAAACAAAAGCGGTGATTTTTTTCATGCCGTTTCTGGATGGCACTGGAACAACAGGAGGGCCAGCAGTTATGGGCATACATCACTCTGAGTGTGAGCAGATGTGAGCAGTGGGACGGCGCAGTCTGTCTATCTCGTAGACCCCGTTTGACATGGCAGTGCGGCTGAGAGTCTCATCGGATGGGTGGGGGGGGGGTGGTGTCGAGGCATCTGTGCACAAATCGGTTTGACATGTGGGGGCGATAGCCCTGTGGTTAAGAAGGACTTTTAACCTCATGGCCACCAGTTAGGTCTGAGGGAGGCTCTACACTTGAGATTACATTTTAAGGTACTAATCTTAAAGTTCTACAGGAAAAAAATATTCAACAGTATAAATGGGCAAAAGTGGAGCAATGGGCACATGGCTGAGAGAGATTAACAGGATCCACAACCACTGCAAATATAAACTATTTGTCCAACAATAACAAACCAAAAGCTGACTGTCACGCTGGTCAGGCCTACCCAAAGTGCTCTGTCCTTGTTTTGCCCTCTGGAGTTTCTTCACCTTTCACGGACTGTTGTCTTAAGCGGTCAGGGCATCCAGCCGGGACTGGCGTGTTTGGGCTTAGGACTGTGACGCTATCGGAGGCCCGGTCATTGGAGAGATTGTGCTGGTTCTGATCAGCAGGGCAGTGAACTGAAAACGCATGGGTAACTTGCAGTGACTTCTACACCCAGCCCAAGCGATTTTTCACATGTCCTTTTATTAGATCAAGAATTTAGCCTTTCTTATTATTTTTATTCTCCTGAGGAAGTCCGTTACCCAGAATACCGGATATAGCACTAAATATGTCATAGCCAGTGAGCGAAATACCTGTCAATATTTGGGGGGGGGGGGTCCCCATCTCCCTATTGTTGCGCAATACCGATCTTGAGACCCCCTTAAAATGTTGCTTTTGAGGCTTTCAGGGGGTCTCATGGGTTAATCAGGGGTGTCGGATCCACCCCGGACTCCCCTGTATTTTGCACACTAGTCATAGCAATAGTATTATATCTGTTTTCTTGGACTATTTTCCCAGATTTTTAGGGCCAGATTTAAGTCTGGTAAATGTGCCTCTTTATAAACCTATCAGTCCTTCAGGGTACAGCAGTCATTTAACCCATGCGATCCTTGCAGACAGACACACACATACACACACAGATATACAGATATACTTCTACCTTGACCATGCTGAGTCCAGTCGGTCACCAGCATCTGTCCAGCAAGACCACGACGTTTCCCGCAGGATCAATTCCCGTGGCCCTCCCATCCATCTATGTGACGGAGCGCTCATTCGGAGGGCTGACAACGGACGTCAGATGGTCAGCCATCGCAGTCTCCCCACCCATCCCCCCACCATGAGTTTCCTCAGTTGTCCTGCTGTGTCCGGAGTGACAGCGACATTAGTCTGCAGGATAAAAGTAAAAGGAATTGGATTCCTCTTTGGGGGGGGGGCAGTGTGGAGGTTTGGGGAGGGAATTTATCACTGAGAGATAGTGATTTAATTTGGGTGATGTGTAACAGGCCTCACCCGGGCAGTTTGGTGTCCAGGCTTCCCGCGGTGTGCTTCTTCTGCGCGGTTATTGACCCTGGCTGCCCCCCCCCCCATCCCCATCCCTCAGTCCCCCTCAGGCTTCCCAGCATTAGTGCCTTCAGACTGGAGAAATGAGGCCAATTCATCACGGCTGGCATCGCCTTCATTTACAAGTCCCGGCCCCAGACAGCTACTCACTGTAGGGCAGCTGTTGCAATCTTCCTGTCGCCCTTCTCACACCTGCTGCCTCTGGCCGGGCGGAACATGGAAATGCAGCAGAGATGGATGGGTGAACATGGACGACAGACACGGTCCCGGCCGTGCATCCACTACCACGCCGACCCTTGTGGGCTTCCACCCTTCCAAGCATGCTTTGCCAGGAGCATCCAGTGTCTTGGCGGGCTGGAAAACACACAATCCCACACGCCACTTGCAATGATCGTCTTTGTTTATATCTTCATGCATGTGACAGCTGTTCCTGAGAGTAGAAAACATTCCCAGTATCCTTTTCAATGCAGAATAATTTATGCAGAAATTAAGAACTTGATTTCCATGTAAGGGTATAATTAGCTGTTTGGGCACAAAACCTTCAGACTTTACTGCAACTTGGCACCAGAAGGTTATAGGTTCAATGCCCAGACATAGAGCTGCCAGCTTCTTCCTGCTTGGCATAGGTGTGACGGGCTGGGAATCTGGGTCTTAGTCCAGGGACAAACTGTTTATCTGCATAAGGGTTTGGGGGCTCAGGTCCTAAGTAATGGCCCTGACACACGTAGGAAGTGTAATTCAGACAGGCACAGCCAATCGGGAGATTAATGCCACGCACAGCCAACACCCCAGGACACGAGCAGCCACCGGTGATCAGAACGTCTCTGCAAAGATTTACCACAGCCGGCTCCACGTCTCCGCCTCCCCCCTCCCCCAGAACACTCAACCCCTAACCCAGCCCCCTAAGGATCGCAGGAGCTCATTAACATTCATGGGATTTCTGGACAAAGATATCCTTGGTGAATTCCCTGCTCTAATTATGTCCTGACATTTATTGAAGGCTTTGATTAAGGACTGTCATAATGAATAACAGGGATGGCTGTAGCTGGGCACGTTTCATTCTCCTGACACTGTCTGTAACACGTGGCCATCCTTAAGTCCGCTCAGATGTTCCATGGTGATAATCCACAGTCTACAAAGGGGCCTTGCAAAGAAACATTTTTTTCTTGATTTTTTTTTTCTCGTGGCCCATAGTTAATGTCCAGACCGCACATCCCAGTGTTTTGTCTTCTATCCCAGGTAAACCGGTGATGATCATAACGGAGTACATGGAGAACGGATCCCTGGACACCTTCCTGAAGGTGAGCTGGCCCCCTTTCGCTGGTGTGGCAAAGAATCAGTCGCCAACGTGATGATATGGTGATGATTATCTTTGCATGTGAAAGTTTGTAACTGAGGCAGCTGGTGTGAGTGTGTGTTTGTGTGTGTGTGTGTGTGTGTGTGGTGGGGGGGTGGAATTATGATTAAATGGCTCCACATTCGATTCCCGTGAGGAATTCGGCTGTTCCACTGTTGTGCAAACAACTTCAGCAGAATCACTCTAGTTAAGCAATGTTATTGGGGGAGTTCCGGTCCTGATGCATCCAGTACAAGACCACACTGAGGCTGATCGCACACGTGCAGAAGACATGCCTGTGAATTTATGGAGCGTTTGATCGCAAAGAAAGGAGCGAGGGTCCTAATTTCATTAGACCAAGCAAACATGCTCTGTTTGAAAGCACGGCTCGCCTAATTGCAAACGTACTGGAATGAAAATTAAAACAGACAAAAAAAAAGAAAGAAAGAAAAAAAAGACGTCCTGTCTAAAACCTTCGATTTCCCCCCGGAGGACATAATGAAACATCATAAATAATCCACAAAGCCTACATAAAAGCTAATTTAATTACTGTATCAGTTTTATGGGTAATAGATCATAGCCTGCTCCTCAGAATACATGTGTTTAATTAGGACATAGATCAATTAAGCATCACTCACTGGCAAAGCCAAACATTTCTGTCTTGACAGCTCTTACAGTAAGTAACAGCATTTGGAGAGGCAGATAAAGGGAGTCTTGGTATTGATTGGAGGTGTTCATTAATCAGGGCTTTTCGGTTTTTAGAGAATATGCCATAATTAGCTTACCTTCCATATTCAGGGAGGAGGGCACATTGGAAACTGATGCTGCTTCACACAGAAACGCAGCCTTTTAACTAGATTACATTACCGGTACCGATTTCAGACTGGAGACAGTGGACTTGCTGCTCTTGGTAACGGTGACATCATTTCGGTAAATACAGACAGCTTGGTCTGTGCTGGTGACCACAGCCGTGCGATCAGATGCGTTTCTCCCGTTTCACTGAAAGCCAGCTACTGGGGGAGATGAGCGGGATCAGCGAGAGAGGCATAGCGGATCCCGGAGCGGATCCCGGAGCGGATCCCAAAGAGAAATCACAGCTGGAGACCTTATTCTGCTCTGTCCCCATTTACACAGCAAGAAGTGTTTTTTTACACCTGAATACAAACACAAATCCTGCCGGGGGCTAGCAGGCATTTCCGCCTCTGCACCCCGTCAAATTGGACGCCATTTCACATGTGCATGGACTTGACCAGACTTCCTGTTTCTCTGCTCCCACCCCACCCTACTCCGCAGAAACACGACGGGCAGTTCACGGTGATCCAACTGGTGGGCATGTTGCGTGGCATCGCCTCGGGCATGAAGTACCTGTCAGACATGAGCTACGTGCACCGCGACCTGGCAGCAAGGAACATCCTGGTCAACAGCAACCTGGTGTGCAAGGTGTCCGACTTCGGCCTGTCCCGCGTCCTGGAGGACGACCCGGAGGCCGCCTACACCACCAGGGTAAGACCATCCTTGACTTGTCTGAGCAGTGAGTGGCTGTTGTCCTCTATCTTTAAAAATATGTGACCATCTTGAAGGCAAAAAAAGAAAATCAACACCAAGGAGCGTCATGGGTCTGTAGCACAACCAAACCAGGTTTGTTTTCAACCAACCGACTAGTTTTTCAGCACATACATGTGAAAGCGCGTGTTAGAGCAGGGGTCTCCAACTCCGGTCCTGGAGAGCTACTAACCAGTCGGTTCTCTATCCTACCTGGCTTCTGATGAGTGACACCTATACTGATGTAAATACCAGGAGCAGGTGTGGCTCATCAGAAGCCAGGTAGGATAGAGAACCTACTGGTTAGTAGCTCTCCAGGACCGGGGTTGGAGACCCCTGTGTTAGAGAGACGTGGCTCTTTAGTTTTGGGTTTGTATGAAGGCACGTCCTGAGTCTGGGGGAGTTGCAGGGTCCATGCACTAATGGTCAAAGGAGAGTCATTTTTTAAAAAGACGATTCCTTTCCTCACACAGGGACATGGGCTGACAAAAACAGGCCGCAAAGCCTTTTTTTTTTCTTCAGAACAAGGGGGGGGGGGGGGTGAATAAAGAAATAAAAACTCGCAAGAGAGAGAAAAGAAAATAGTATGTGCGAGGCACTCACTTCCTGCTGTGTTTTGTTTGTCCATGTTTGTTTTTTTCAGGGGGGGAAGATCCCCATCAGGTGGACGGCCCCCGAGGCCATCGCTTACCGGAAGTTCACATCCGCCAGCGACGTGTGGAGCTACGGCATCGTCATGTGGGAGGTCATATCGTACGGCGAGCGGCCCTACTGGGAGATGTCCAATCAGGATGTGAGTGTCCCTCTGACCTGGAGGACTGAGAGGCTACAGTAAATCAAAATCCACTGCGGATATTTGAATTAATCAGGCCTGGGAGAGAGATCCCTCATCCTCCACCCCAATGCGCACAGACACACACACACACACACAATCATCTGGCACACACAAATGTTGATTACATTTACAGGTGTCCAGTGTTTTCATCTGCACTATGATTTAGACATCAGCGGCCCATCCTCGGGGCTGCGATTCATCTCAGTTTTCCCCACGGCCGCCCGGGTCACCCCTCACATGGCATATCTGTATTGCTGAGAGGCAGAGAGAGAGAAAGAGAGGTTCAGCAAGTCCAAACTCTGATGAAACCTTTGGAAAAAAAACAAAAATGAAAACAAGATGGGAGGCCTTGCTCAGCTTAAGGTAAAATAATTAGGTATTTATTGGGCAAATATCTGTCTATTTCAGCATTCAGGCTGTACTCAGAATCCAGATCTATTCTCTGAGCTCCGATCTGATTTCCCACTCATACCACAGTGTCTTAGTCTTTCCCAGTGACGTGTGCCAACAAAGCATTGGAGAACCATTAAAGGCCTGCTGGAAAATTGTCCAAACTGGGAATAGTGCCCTCACCACACGGCCTCATGGATGGGTCTTGGAGAGCGGGGGCTGCAAGGATCACCCGAATGGTGGCTCTTCGTTGGGCCTTTACAAGGGTTACTAGGCTGGTAAAACAGGAGGCACTGTTATATTATTACACGTTTCATGTGTTTTTTTATTATTGTTTGAAAAAGCCATTGTCGTTAAGTCGCGGAATCCTCCGCCAAACCCTCGTAACTGATTTTTATCCCTGTTTTTTATGGCGTGGAGGATTTTTTTTGCAACCACTTTCAGGTTGCCTGTCACGTACATCCCTCAGCAGGGGGCCTCATTCCGGAAAGGACGATGGAAATACATCTCCCTCCCAAGGCAGGGGAAGGGGCTGAAGGCTTAGTGCGTATGTCCATGTGAAATTGACATATGTGGTCCTAAGTGTGCCTCTGTCACGGTGCTCCAGGTGATCAAGGCCATCGACGAGGGCTACCGGCTGCCCGCCCCCATGGACTGCCCCCTGGTCCTGCACCAGCTCATGCTGGACTGCTGGGAGAAGGGCCGCAGCGATCGACCCAATTTCGGGCAGATTGTCAATGCCCTGGACAAGCTGATTCGTAGTCCTGGCAACCTGAGGCCGCTGGCCAACAGCTCTGTTTGGTAAGCCCCCCCGGATCCTCCGTGTCCAAACCCACCCTCATTTGCTGAGTCGTTATTACAGTCAACAATGAAGGCAGCAAGCAGCCTTTACATTACATCTTTGCACTTCTATATTAGCTTGTGTTAAATAACAAGCTCGAGTGCTAGGAAGAACATTATCTGGATTTGTTGACCATCGTGCCAGTCAAGAACCAACTGCTACACCTGTTGAAATAACTCTACATGGCCTACTCAGAGGCAGGCATAGCACTCTGTCCTTCCCAAAAGTAAAAGAAACAAATTTGGGCACGTATTGCCCTCCATGCCCAGTTCATGACTCAACGTGAAACTCAATGAGACCCTTTGCTTTATGCGGATCAAGAAATAGAAAGGATGTGGATTTGTTTTGAGTCACAAGGCTCTAAATTATTTCTCACACCTGTCAGATGCACCCTGAGCTCAAAGAGGGCTTTTCTGCAATTCCTCTCTGTGCTGCCTGTCACTTAGTGTGCTCCCCGTCCTCCAGCGGCTGTTAGCTTGACAGCCGGAATTAAAGCCGTGGTTTTCTCGCCGCTCTCGCTTCTTGTTTTCAGCTAATGTTGAATCGGGCACCGGCTTCGTCCCCCATCTCTCCTTGCAAATACGCGACCACCTCTACCCCAATCGCTCAACAAATGAAGCAAACTGCCTGAGAAAAACAAGATGTCTTAGCACACAGGGAGGGGATTCCTGAAGTTGTGGTTTGCAAACGTGACGACGCCATTTGCCCGTCCCACAGGGAGGATCCTGCCTCCCCAGAGCCCCCTGCCAGCACAGTTGAGGACTGGCTTGACTCTATCAAGATGGGCCAGTACAAGGAGCACTTCGCAAGCGCAGGATACGTCACACTGGACTCTCTGCTTTTCATCAACATCAGGTCCGTCACGCCGCTGGTCCCCTACACTCAACGTTAGCTGGCCAGGGGGCAGAAGCCATCTACAGGCACTTCAACATGCTGAGATCTCATTATGGAAACTGGCTTGACCATATATTTACACAGTAAAATAACAGCTGAATACTGAAGAAAGATGAAGTTTATAGCATAAATGTGTCTAACCGCATAGTGTCATGCAGAAGGATAACCAAAGAAGCAGGCGTAAGTCAAGCTCTCCTTAAAGGCTCAACAGCAGTTCCCCATCTGGGACACCCCTCAACCAGCTGGACACCGAGAACCATGATCCCACCAATCTCCTTTCGCAGGGCAGCCTCTGTGAAGTACTTAGCCGGCCTCCAGACAGGTGTTAAAACAGCAGCCCCATAAAAGCAGGCTGATTTGTGTAGTGACACGTGTGTGCCGGCTGTTTAGAGGTGTTTGATGGTGGCCCAGGTAGACCATTAACACCATGAGGTGAGATGTCTGGGTCACTGAGAGCAAGGAGGGGGGTCGGCAGCACCTCGGGGATTAAGCTCATCGCCCGCCTGCTGTTAACCGCCAAATCAGAATATTCGTTTTTTGCATTTTAGTTAACAGAAAGGCACATCGTTTCCAGAATCCCCCTAAACAGATTACAGAATCACTAACGCTAAAAGGTGACATACACATGAAGGTAAATTTACATTTTATATTTTAATTTATTTAATATACATTCATTAGTATTATCAGGATATTTTTGGCCTGTACGTTTTTTGCTATAAGGTCTCTTAAATGGTATGGGAAGGTAAATCCGACTTCCATAAGGGTTTGTGGAACGGATTACTGATGCAAGTCAAGAAATGCCTATTAAGATGAAACCAGAAGACAAAAAGGGAGCTAACTGGTTGTTAAATATTCAGTACATCTTTTTCTTGAAGGACAATGGTGTCATTCCAGCGGTGTCCCCATAGCTGGACAGGTTTATGACATTTTGTTTTTTATTGTACCCCTACCTCCCCATGGCCCTGTTGTTCTCACAGCGAGCTGGGGAAGATGGGCGTGACGCTGGCCGGACACCAGAAGAAGATCCTCAGCAGCATACAGAGTCTGCAGACACAAGGGACTCATGTCCAAGTGTAACACAGCTCCCCGGCCCACCCCAACCAGACAGAATGAGACGGTAGAGGAGAAGAGAGACCGGGAGAAGGTGAGAACTGCAAGAAGGGTCCCTCGTTACTTTCAACCGACAGGCTTCACCACTCATCCTGCGCTGGATGTTACCTCGCTGAAAGCACTCCACCCTCCGTTTGAGCACGTAGCACCAACCGCAACAGCCAGGACACCCAGAGAACCAGAGACTGATCTACATTAGGTCACCACCAAGCATCCCAGAAAAAAAACAAAACAAACAAAAACATAAAAAACAGCCAATTTGGCATATGGAGTTTAGCATACGGTCATTTGGAAGTTTTATTTGACTGTCTGCTTCACGTCTTGTTTCCTTTTCGTTCTTTCGGGGGTCAGGTGATCTGTGTTTGCTCAAGTGCATTGACACGTGCTCTGTGCAGCACACTGGGCCGAGACCCAGAACCATTCCATTTCAGAATGACCTCGTCCCACGTCACGTGACCCGTGATGCCCAGTGGTGGAGACCAGACCCATCTATGTGTGGGTTTATGGCCTCTCACAAGTCTCCATGTATATATATATATATATATGAGGACCAGCACTATGAAATCACTTTCGTGAATGTTCTGCTATGTCCTCCTTGGTCCTCATTCAATGAGGCCACAATGTTAATGGAGTGGTTAGCAGTTACTGGCAGTCTACAAACCAACACCCCACCTAGAAAACATGAGTATGGCTGTCTGTGCTAAGTTACCCAGAAACCCAATTACTTACCTCAGAAAGATACATTCAGGCTGGAATACTCAAATACAGCTGTTTGATCTTTATGTTTTATTTCCCTGGTTTTCCTTTTCCCCCAGTATTTTGGTCCTTCAATAGTTAAATACAGATGTTTTCAGGCAAAAAGGGGCCCAGGTTGAAGCCCCCCCCCCACACACCCCTGACACAGAGGTTGAGGCAACACAGAAGGTATTTTCAACTCTAAAACTGCCACAGTGAATGCAAGCATGGAGTTGGACTCTGAATCCAAATCAAGCACTGGATTATGGTAAAATGGGTCCCGCAGAGAAATGCATGCGAGTACAAACAGCCATACCCATCTTGTCTAGGCTCTAGAACCTTAGAGATATACCACCAATTGATGTGTGTTTTTCAAAAGAAAAGTTGTTACAGCAACAAACCTCCAGGAAACAAATAACTAGATTGTTGTATCATAGTGTAAAAATGTACAGTGTTGATTTAAGAGTGTAGAATGTTTGTAATGATGTACTTTTATTTAGAAGAAGGAGAACCCCTAGGGGATGTGTTTGAATTCATTGGTCAGCAGGCAACAGTGTTGGGGCACTGATTTGTGGAATGTAGCATGGATACTTAGTTCCGTTGTTGACTGATAGGTCACGGTGACTGCAGTGTCACGCAAGTGGTAAAAAAACAAACTACTTGACATTTAAATGCCTTATTTACTGTCCCATCCGTTCCTTTAAATCCATGCGTCCTGTGTTACGGACCATCGTGTGCATTTATAGCCTTTATGGACTTAAAAAAGGCTAACAGCGAATCATGTTGTGGGATTCAGAGAAAAGGTAGATAAGTCTATGGGTCGAAGGTCAGGGCTAATCAGGGTCCTTTCTAATCACATATTAAATTTAACCTAGAGGAACAGGCAGCTGTTGTATCTCCAAGAGACAGACAGAAGCCCGTCTAGCCTGCCGGACATTCCCAGTGCGTCTTCCATTGGATATGTGATGTCAGCCGGCTCTGTCCAGATTCATAAGCCGTGGAACTTCTTTTCTCTCTTGTATTACACATATGCTGTGTCTTGCAACATTTTCTGGGGAGGGATGGCGAAAATCGTGTTCAGCTATTTTTTTTACTCCCAGCATCTCCAGTGAATACCCCCCCCCCCCCCAAAACCCGCAAACTGTCATACGATAATCAATTAATGAAACATTTTAGATCATGGTGATAACTGCTATAATTACGAACGCTTGTATTAGCATCCAGGTTTTTTTGAGAATACATGCTCACATGAAGCAATGTCATCTTCGCATTGCCCCCCATGTTTACTTATCCGGATTATTCCGGCGACTAAGCCCATCACAATCTATAAACAAGACACGTTTGATCCTCCTTCTGCTAATAAGTTGTGAACTCCCCTAAATTGGAGAGTCATTGAAGCGTACGTCTCCATTCGCTCCCATGATCCTTTGTGAGGCGGGAGGCGATTTATTTAAAATGCAGAGTGTGTTAAACGTGAGCCGCGGCAACGCCCTCCCCGAGCTCCTTGTACCGTGGTAAACAGCGTCCATCTGATGCCGTGTGTGCCCGTAGAGGAGCGTGTTGATTAATGGTGACAATGTACCAAGATGCATACAGTCGTTTCGTCCCAAGATGTTCCGGTCGTTCTTGAGTCTCTGTAAGTGGCACAGATAGATACTCTTAATGTAACTTAATGTAAAAGCAATAGTATGATTTATATGTGATGCACATGGATTTTAAGTGAGGCTCTCTCAGATATCTTCCAGCTTCAAGGCTGCTAATATACATCTTAGGCAACATCTAATTTAACAGAGAGAATGTGTGTTTTATACAATGTTCTATGGCCGGTAGGGATGACTTGTATTTTTTTATTTTTTATTTTTTTGGGGGGTGGGGGGGTGGGTTCAGAGATTAAACTAAAAAACTGTCAGTTCTTCATGTCCAGAGGACAACTGAATTCCGGGTTCTGCGTATGACGTCAAATTTACCCAAGGCTGTGGCACTGGAAGACAGGAGACACGTCTGCATGTTAATTAGCATGGACGGTGGACCTGGGGGAATCTCCAAAAACTGAGGACCCAAAAAAAAAAAAAAAAAAAAAAAAAAAAAAAA